TAGGGTTGTTGGGGGGTGGGCCGTGGCGGAGCGGTTGTCTCGGGGGGTTTCTGAATGCCGACTGAGTATTTCACGTCAGTAGCTGTGCGGTTAAGGTGTGCGTTGCCTCTGGGCGGGGGAGGCTGGAGGGTGCGCTTGGTGAGGTACTGGTGCGTGCGTGTATGTGGGTATATGCCCCCTTGCACGGTTTTATGTTCGAACAATTAACTCCACAAACGCTTATTTTCTTCTGCAGCCTTGCCATTGCATATGGATCGCGCTGGGTGTGGATTAGGAACTAAGGAGGCTGTTCAGCCATAGGTTCATCTGGAAGCGTTGGGCAGCTCGTGGTGTGGAAGGAAGGGCAGCAACCAGCGTGGCCCTGGCAGCTCGTTAGCTGGCATCCCACCCCCGTGCCCCTCGTTTCCACTGCCTTGGGTCAGAGACCGAGGCTCTGCCGACGCCAAGTCCCTTCCTGAAATCTCGCACCTCTTAGCTGAAGCTGTAATAAACTGCGCTAGTTGAGGCTGTTTTCTTCCCACGCTAACGCACGTTTTTTTCAGAAGGGCTGAATGATTTGTCAGCAAAACGCGCAGTCCCTGTCCCTTGTCATACACCTATATAAGCATTTAGCATGAGGAGGTTGACTGTATCGGAAACTTTTAGAACAGCGGAGTAATAACGCTGCATGCTGGTTTATTTTGCAACTTGATCAGTTTTATCTCTATTTGCTTTAGTCTGCCTTAGGCTTCTTGCAGGAAGGAAATTTCTGTTCGCTTCCACATAAGGGAGATTTGCAATTCTGCCCAGCACTTACAGGCTTCCCTGTAGAGAGAGTTACTTTGTGACAGCAATGATGTCTTGTTACTATTGCACTTAACAGAATACATTTTGTGGCCAAGATTGTTTGGTTTTGTTGGGTTTAGGGGGGTTTTTTTGATGGGCTGTGATTGAATATTTATAGTTACTAGCTCAGATAAAGAAAAAACTTAATACTCTGATTTCTTCTTGTATAAGGAGAGGATAGGTAACTAATAACACAGTGGAAATGTTTCTTTTTTTTCCTCAGACTTTTGTTTCTTTTAATCTTTTCAATGTCCCCTTGATCAAGGAAAGAAGACTTGTAAAGTGATTTACAAGAAGGTCATTTTTAAGTGTGCCTTTAGCTTTAAACAAAGAGGAGATGTTCTTATCACTGTAATGTAATCAGTGTTCTGTCACCTGCTTACTGCAGTTTGTAACTGATTTTTATTTATAAGGTACTGTTTCACAAGGTACAGATCACTATTATCAAAAGGTCCATAGCTCTTTTACCATAGAATCATGCAATGGTTTGGGTTGGAAGGGACCCTTAAAGATCATCTAGTCCAACCCCCCTGCCATGGGCAGGGACATCTTCAACTAGATCAGACTGCTCAGAGCCCCATCCAACCCGACCTTGAATGTTTTCAGCGATGAAGCAGCCACAACTTCTCTGGGCAACCTGTTCCAGTGTCTCACCACCCTCATTGTAAAGAATTTCTTCCTTACGTCCAATCTAAATTTATCCTCTTTAAATTTAAAACCATTGCACCTTGTCCTGTCGCTACAGGCCCTGGTAAAAAGTCTCTCCATCTTTCTTAGAAGCCTCCTTTTAAGTACTGAAAGGCTGCAATAAGGTCTCCCCAGAGCCTTCACTTCTTCAGGCTGAACAACCCCAACTTTCTCAGCCTTTCCTCATAGGAGAGGTGTTCCATCCCTCTGATCATTTTCGTGGCTCTCCTTTGGATTCGCTCCAACAGGTTCATGTCTTTCCTGTGCTGAGGACCCCAGAGCTGGATGCAGTACTGCAGGTGGTGTCTCACCAGAGCGGAGTAGAGGGGCAGAATCACCTCCCTCGACCTGCTGGCCACACTGCTTTTGATGCAGCCCAGCATATGGTTGGCTTTCTGGGCTGTGAGCACACATTGCCAGCTCATGTCCAGGTTTTCATCCACCAACACCCCCAAATCCTTCTCCGCAGCGCTGCTCTCAATCCATTCATCCCCCAGCCTGTATTGGTACCAGGGGCTGCCCCAATCCAGGTGCAGGACCTTGCACTTGGCCTTGTTGAACCTCATGATGTTCACACAGGCCCACCTCTCCAGCCTGTCAAGGTCCCTCTGGATGGCATCTCTTCCCTCTAGGGTATCAACTGTGCCACTTAGCTTGGTGTTATCTGCAAACTCAGTGAGGGTGCACTCAATCCTGCTGTCTATGTCATTGATGAAGAAAGATATTAAACAGTGCTGGTCCCAGTACAGACCCCTGAGGGACACCACTCATTACTGTTTCTACTAGGGACATTGAGCTGTCAAATGCAGCCATCCAGCCAATTCCTTAGCCATCTAACAGTCTATGCATCAAACCCATATCTTTCCAGTCCCTCACCTTTTTCTTGTTTTCTGTCTTCTGCCCTGTCAGCTCTGTAGCTCATCAGATCTTTTCCTAGGCCAATTTAACTCACTAGAATAGCAGAAAAACTTGTGCTTTATTGAGTTTTCTACTGGTCTGTGCATTCAGTTAGCTTGTGGAAAGTCTCATGAGGATGTGAGCTGTCAGAGAAGGTGGTGGGAGAAAGAAGAAGAAGAAAAAAAATATGAGAGACCTCCCTATTCTGCAGCAGCAAGCCTTTAGATCAACTCATCTACTTAAGGAAACATAACCATAGCCTTAATAGTTACATCAGGTCCATAGCATATTTTGCATTACATTTTTCAAGTATCCAGGATAAAAGAGGGAAAGTAGCATAAATGGCTTAAAACATGACCCAGTAAGCTTGAAAGGGCATTCCTGTGTACTTTCCCATCTGTAATGCTCCGATGGGTTGTTTAGTACTTGATACAGCAATCTTTTATTAATTGGCTGTTTTTCTTGGCAACTGTTGATCTGATGCCTGAATTTTGTATGTTGTGCAAAGATCACTGATAACTTGCTGTAATATTACAAATACTGAAATGTACAGACAGGCCACTTGGTACCGCTCTGCGTATCTAGTACTGGCAGACCTGTTTTATTTGCTTATTGTATGTATGTCTATGAAATAAAAGGACAATTAATATTTTTTTAATATTTATTATATTCATAAGTGCAATAAAAGTCTTGGACTCCAGTACTATAGTACTATTGCTGGGTCATCATAGTTGCGGGAGGTATTGTACATCTCAGAGCAGTATTTAAGCTTTCAAAAGAAGAGCAGAAGTAACAGAGAACATAACTGAAAAAAATACTTGCTTTCCTCTTGAGAGGGATGACAGGGAAAACAGGGACTTGCAAAGGTATAAATACTTTTTGTAAAACCAAGGCATGCTTAAAAAGGAATAACCTGTGGGTTGTTAGTGTTATTAACATTTTTGAGTGTGTGTTGTATTTATGTGGTGAGAAATTGCCTACAGTTCCAGTCATGTGATCTATGTATTTTATTTACTCTGAAGAGCTGAGACTGCTCCAGGCCAAGGAATTGACTAAAAGTCAAATCAAGTTCCTGGCTAGACCAAATATATGATAACAGAATTGAGTCACAGTGCGATAGTGCTGTTGCCACTCTGAAGAATTGGAGAGCTTGCCGTTCCTGTATAGTCCAAAAAGCTTGTATACTTTGAGCTAATTCATTAATTTTTACCTTGAGTGAGCCTGGGACCATGCTGTTTATTGTACACCTTCCAACTCTACATTGAAACCAAAAACTAAACACACGCTCTAAGGCATGTGGGTTGATATTTGTATGTTCTTACCTTCCCTTACAACTATTAGTTTTATAAGTCAAGGTATACTGTCTTGACATGCTGCAGCCTGGTAGTTCTGAAAAATGCTGCTGAACACATTGAAAGTGTCAATAGGGCACACTGTCATCTCATTTTGACCCTCTCTTAAGTAGCCATTGGGAACTGATTTGAAATGAGTTGTTACATTTTCCTACTGTGCTTTTTTTATTCATGCTCTGTTGTTTTTTAGCATTCTGTCCAGTTCTGTAGGGTCTCTCCTTGTCCGGTATTATAAATGGTTTTGGGTTGAAATGTTATTTACACAGGGCTCCAAGAATGCCTTAGGAAATTTTTTTTTTTTTTTTTTCGAAAGGAACTATAATCTGAGTTAGTGCTGTAGTGTAAGAAAGGGTTGAAAGGACATCATGGTGTGGGAGAGGATGTCATTCAGTGAAAGTAATGAAAGGAGAACAGTCATGGCAGAAGGAAAGCTATTACGTTCATGACTTTGCAATTCAACTTACCTTAACTTCCTCCCGCTTTTTAAAAGAGATACATATTTATTCTAGTTAGTTCCATTTGAAGTCAACAGGGGCAGAATTGGGTTCCTGTAGTTCTAAACCTCTGTGTTTTTCTGGCTGATTCACGGTGTAGTTATCCTCAGTGCTAGTGATGGAATTGACTTAAGGAGCTGCCTTCTGATGTGCAGCTGGTTCATACTGAATCTGTCGTCCGCAAATGTGTCTGTGTGTAATATGTGAGAAAGGCCCAAATTTTGCCTGAATTCGAGAAATCATTTGAAAGGGAATAGTCAATGTCATTTGTAAAATATGCAGTAGAGTTACATAGCAATGATACCTCTGGAAGAGCTTTAGTTTGCTAGGAAGTCTGTAACGTCCTTAAAATAACATTAGAAGAAGTTTCCAGAAAGTGGCAGTAACAGCAGAATGCCCTTCTGTAGTTAAAAATTGTTGTGTTTGCAGGATGAACTTTTAATAGTTTATTATGCAATAAATTCACTGTTTTGAAAGATACAACAGTGGGGGTTTTTTTGGTTGGTTGTTGTTTTTTTTTAATGTTCCTCAGCAACCTTCTATAACTGTATGGGATCTTACGGTAGCCATTTTTAAAGAAGTTCATTCTTTCTGAGGGTTAGATGCAGTAAGCTGAGATGCCCAGGCAAGACATCTACATTTCTGCCAAGTATAGTGCACTTGGAAAATATGTGAGACCTTGTAGAGTGCAAAGAATAGATAAGCTTGCAGATTCAGGGCCTGAAGCTGTTAAATCTATTACGTGACTTAATTTAAAGTTTTGAGTTAATAATCTGCATTAGAAAATAGGTATTTTCAGTTAAGAAAATACTCTTCTGAATTAATTTCCACAGAATATACAGGCTGCGTTATTGTTGGTACATTTTTTTTTTCCCCAAAATTTAATCTAATTTTTCTTTAATTGTTTTATTCACTTCTTATTTTTCAGGAGTCTTTGAAAAATCCTTAGTGGTCATGACATTGTAACAAGTGACATAAATTAGCCAGTGGCTCAGAATGATGGATACCCAGAAGACTACAAATGGTTTGCAAGTGATTGGAGAAGGGACTGGTATAGGGAAATCGACACTCCACATGGTGGGGTATTTGGGAAAAGTCAGTTGAAACTTGTTTTACATGTGTGCAAAGTTCATATTTTTCTCTGCTTTGAGAGATTTTTAATTGGTCTTAATTTTACAAAAAAAATTCTCAAAATTATTTTCCACGGAAATCTATAACAATGGCGAAAGATTATTCTAAGTAAATCTGTGCCTATGACTTTTTTACTGGCACTATTTTTACAACTGTTTGCATTCCTATGAAAATTGATTTGTCTTTCAAAGATCTGAGCTTATGTTCCCTGGCAATAAGTGTCCTGTGGTTTAGTTCAAGTGGAATGAAATGTTGCATAATTGCATTGTTAAAGATACCTTATTAAATATTTGAATATTTAAATCAAAAGATAAATTTATTTAGAACACTACCATACAAATATATATCTTATAAATATTTTTTTAAAAATCTAGTTTACTTTTTTATATTGTATTAGGTATTATATTTAGAAGTTGCACGTTGGTTTTCTATCTTGGTATGTATGTATGTCTTACCTTGGGATAATATATGAAATACATAAATTTATGCTACTGTGGTTTTCTTTTTTTTTTAGAACTGTAATCCTGTGGAAACAACTGCGCAGGAATATTGTCCAGTCTGCAAAGAGAAGGGCCAGATTCAAGTTTTACGGACTTACCGCATTAATTTTCAAGAGTCCATTTTTCTTTGTGAAAATCCTCAGGTATTACACTAATTAACAGTTTTATTTGGTTGTGCAGGGGCCTTTATCTTCAGCAGTTATACCTCTTTAAGTTCAAGATTTGTTTTGGTGGTAAGCAGACTGTTGAAATCAAGACCCGTTTGAGTCCATAGGCTGGATGATGTTTGCCTGTATGTAGACAAAACCATAGCTAACCTGTGTATGTGCGGTGTTTAGACATAGCTAGCTACCCTAAAGAATTAAAAAGAATAGATTAAAATGAATAAAGGAGAGTTTTGCTTATATAACAAGGGAACTGTGGCAGGTTGACCCTGGCTGGACGCCAGGTGCCCACCAAAGCCATTCTGTCACTCCCCCCTCCTCAGCTGGACGGGGGAGAGAAAATATAACAAAGGGCTCGTGGGTCAAGATAAGGACAGGAGAGATCACTCACCAATTACCATCACAGGCAAAACAGACTCAGCTTGGGGAAAATTAACTCAATTTATTACCAATCAACCAGAGGAGAGTAATGAGAAATAAAACCAAATCTCAGAACACCTTCCCTCCACCCCTCCCTTCTTCCCAGGCACAATTTCACTCCCAGATTCTCTACCTACCCCCTCCAGTGGTGCAGGGGGACAGGGAATGGGGTTTACGGTCAGTTCATCACGTTATTTCTGCCGCTTCATCCTCCTCAGGGGCAGGACTCATCACACTCTTCCCCTGCTCCAGCGTGGGGTCCCTCCCACGGGAGACAGTCCTCCACGAACTTCTCCAGCATGGGTCCTTCCCATGGGCTGCAGTTCTTCACGAACTGCTCCAGCGTGGGTCCCTTCCACGGTGTGCAGTCCTTCAGGAGTGCACTGCTCCAGCGTGGGTCCCCCACGGGGTCACAAGTCCTGCCAGAAAACCTGCTCCGTGGGCTCCTCTCTCCACAGATCTGCAGGTGCTGGCAGGAACCTGCTCCAGCGTGGGCTTCCCACGGGGTCACAGCCTCCTTCAGGCGCCCACCTGCTCCAGCGTGGGGACCTCCCTGGGCCACAGGGGGACAGCCTGCCTCACCGTGGTCTTCCCCATGGGCTGCAGGGGAATCTCTGCTCCGGCGCCTGGAGCATCTCCTCCTCCTTCTTCACTGACCTTGGTGTCTGCAGGGTTGTTTCTCTTACATGTTCTCACTCCTCTCTCTGGCTGCCGTTTCTGTCTGTCCCAGCAACTTTTTTTTCCTTCTTAAATCTGTTATCACAGAGGTGCTACCACTATCGCTGATGGGCTTGGCCTTGGCCAGCGGCAGGTCCATCTTAGAGCCGGCTGGCATTGGCTCTGTGGGACACAGGGGAAGCTTCTAGCAGCTTCTTACCAAAGCCACCCCTGTAGCTCCCACCCCCACCCCCCCACCCACACCACCCCCCAC